GCAGTGACCTTGAATTCTATTCTTTTCTTCAATTTACAGAGATCAAAGTTATAGCAGTTTCCTATTAAATGAACATCCCTTTCATTGACCATCATTTCTAAGAAAGATCATCCACACTTTTAATTCATTTTCACAACTAAAGTGCTAGTGATAAATATATTAAGTTTATGTATAATTCATAATAGGGGTTTAAATGAATAAGAATGAATATAATTCATTGCGAAATTTTTTTCACGGAAGAATTTAAGATCTTGCAATATTTTATAAATTTTCTAGTTAAAAGCTTTAGTTAAAAACTTTATTACACTCTAGTATGCCGAGTAAATGGAAATATTTACTTCTACTGAAACTATGATGATTAAAGGTTATGCAAAATATAAATGGGTTCAAGTATTGTGTGTAAAAGGCTATGATTGCTAAATATGAAAATTTTGAGCGTTGTTGTTTAGCTATGTATGTTAAATCCACTAATTATATATATTCTATTTATTCGTACACAATTATAATGGTACAATTTAAAATCAACGAGAAATGAGATATATAACATATAAAACATAGAATTAATATATAGTCGAAAACAATAAAATAAAATAAAAAAAAATAAAAACTTAGTTAGTTTTTACATATATCATCAATAATTACATCTATTTCATCATAGTTAAATCCTTCTAAAACATTTGGATTTGACCGGATTAATAGTAAATCTTTTAACAGTGGAATTCTCCACGCATTTTCAGCCGGATTCGCGTAAATCATGTTTGACTTTACTCGAGACTTGTTCAAGGACAGTTTATCTACATAGTTTTCATTTGCAATATTAGATAAATTCTTACATAATTTTGTTCTTTGGTCATTTTTGCATAAATCAAACAATAGTCGGATGCTGAGCTTGCGACTTTTACACATAAATTCGCAAAATGATACAAATCGGCTACACAACATAGTGTTTAAATGAATTTGCTCAGAAATTTGTTCAATAAAATATCTATGAGTTTGTCGTGGCAAACCAAATAAAATACGAATAGCAGTATTCCAAGAAGTATACAATTTTACAGTGTTAACACAAAACAAATCCCATAAGTTGGAACCATATAGACTAGATGCATATATGTTATAAAGCTTAACAACCATTGTAGGTTCAGAAAAATGAAATTAATATCGGAGAACTAACCGCTCCCTGTCTTACTCCATTTGTTACTTGAAAACAATGGGATAGAGAATCAGTCCATTTCACATTGCAAGTTTGGTTCTTATATATATGTATGAGACATCTTAGAGATAAAACTGAAATGTTTCTTTCCAATAGATCGGGGAACAATTTATCCCAAGATACAAGATCGAACGCTTTGGATAGATCCATAGCGCATGCATAAACTGGCCGGCCAGCTTGATTATAGTAATCAATTACCGAGGATACGGCCCAGGAACACATAGTTGTACTACAGTCAGGTTGAAATCCAAACTGCAATTCATCACTGGATAGTTTATCCTCATCCAATATAAGTATAAGCCAGTCAAACCATTTCAAAAGTAAGCTCCCAATTGCAATAGCTCTATAATTATCACTATTACAAATATCACTTAGGTTATCTTTTACTATTGGGACAAGGGAGCAAATAAGTAGGAAATGGGGAATTTTCCCCGTCCTTAGAAACCATTTAAAAAGCTGAGTCACATGGTTAATTAGTGAATCTGGAGCATTTATGAAACAGTCGGAGTTAAACTGAAAAAAAGCATCACTTTTACCAGGTTTTAGCTTTCTCAGAGCAGCTCGTACAGTACTATTATTAACCTTATCCAAGTCTGATTCAAGTTCTGGAATAATCCTATTATTTATTTGTTCATTCACATTTTTAAATTCTTCTTCTAATAAATGTTTAGAATAAAGATCTTGATAAATTGCAGCAAAGTGCTCAGATATATTCTGTGCTCCAACCACACCATCTATACTGCTTGACACAGTTTTGGAATTTCCACGAAATTTCTTGATCTCATTAAAGATATTTACTCCGCCATTGAGAAGACTTTGCATAAATTTGTCCTTTTGCATATTATAATTTGCTCGTTTTAATCTCCTGACAGCATATTTATATTGCATCTTAGCTGTACGATTTACATTATACAGCTCACCTTGATCAGGACACCCTGCTGCCATCCATACTCCATGCCAAAACAAGCTTTCCTCTTGGTATGGTTTTACATACTCCGACCATCCTGGTATACCATTTCCATGTTTATTTAAAGTTCTGCCTACTACTGGTAAGCACTGTATAGCAGCAGTATTCACAGCTTCACAGATATTACAGAACTCCCCTGTAGGAGAACAGAACTTTTCTGAGGGAGAGCAGAATTACTCCGAGAGGGAACAGTGCTAGGCTGTTCATGACTCAGAAGAATGTCTAAAAAATATGAATGAAATAGTAAAATACATTTTTAAGACAATGTCATTTTAAACCTTCCCGATGATATTAAGATATTGAAGCCCCCGTTGTTCTGTGGAAAAATTCGTTTACGAAACAAATTATTTAGGGTATTTTAAGGAATACAACAATATCTTTTAATTTAAAAGTGTTTAGAATCGTGATAACTACTAAGTGCAGTGTTTAGGAAAACTCTGAAAATTTCAACAGCCTCAGACCAATATGCTTTATCCCAGCTGGGTTTAGGCCTTTTTATCTCAGGTTCTACATTTAAGTTTATGAGTTCTATATTAAGTTTGCAGTATATAGGAAGATGATTTGAATGATTATCTGCACTCATAATAACATCTGCTTCAACTACAGCATTAAATAACTGATCATTTCCCAAAAAATGATCAATCACTGAAGAATGTGTCACATTGTTTACAGTATTCACATATGTAAACGGAATGTTAGTAATCCTGTGGGTTTCACTATTGTCAGGCATGCTCCAGAATATATTTAAACCTGTGGTGTTCACAAAATCACGAATTATGTTCACCATTGGTGTATTTCTTGAAAAATCACAATTTATATCTCCAGCTAGAAGCACATTTCTACATTCGGATCTTGCAATAATTTGTTCTATCTCAGCAAGTAATGACAAAAGTTCATTGTCATTAAAAGCATTATTCTGTGGATCGACCATAAAATATAAATTGAATAACAGAAGATCAGCCTCAGGAAAATTAAATTTAACTGCTTGAATTCGGAAACTGTCACTTTTAACCTGTGAAATATATTTAGTGAAACCTTTTTTCCACATAATCACTAAACCTCCCATTCCTCTTCCTTTGGTCACTTCATTGCTTTCTTTAAAAGCTGGTTTTATTAGCATATCGTGAGTATCCCCAAAAAGTGTCTTTAACTTGTAAGTATTACTGTGTTTCTTGCCTCCAGCATCTAACAGAAAGTGTTCTTGGATGCAGAGTATGTCTGAGAAAATATTTAAGGTTTTGATAAAGTTCTGACGATCCAATCCTAACCCTCCCGAATTGTAACTTGTCACACACACAGTTTTAGGATAATAAGCCATTATGTTTATAATTGAACATTATTCTCTAAGACATGAAACCTTCCTGTGTTTCCTGTATTCAAGGTAGCTCCATTGAAACCACTTTCTCTGACAGCTGCCTCTGACCTTGAACTTGACAGCTGTGATACCTGTCTATCTGTGCGGGGTACAATCTGCTTATGGTCAGGTTTCTTCCTGTAATATATAAACTCTCTTACCTTAACTCTCATTGGCCAAACAGTAGGATCTAGAGCCTTGTTTAAATCCTCAGCCTTAATTGATATTTTGTAGCTCATCACGGAAGGATTACCTTTGCTCATCAGCAAAATATCATCTATAGTTATCTGTATATCACTCTCAGCAAGATCTTCAACAATATCCTCTTTAGTGGTTTCCCTAGGGACGCCATAAACAAAGATGTCTGCTGGGGGAGATTTCATTTTTCTAGAAGTGTTTGATCTAGTCCCTGTAACGATATGTTTTTCTGTTCTCCTTCTCTTCTCAGGTTGGTTAGATTCACTGTTTCCTCTCTTAACACTTGGAGATCTATCTCTACTTTGCACTCCTCTTGGTGGATTTAACAGATTATTATTCCTCTGTTGAGACCTAGGAATAGTTGAAGCAGCAACTCCTGCGTAGGTATGAGTAAAACTAGGTTGAGACGACCCCTGAGCAGCAGAATTCATCTTTGTGCAAATAGATTGCAACATATTCATCATCACATTGTTCTTGTCCTCAACCTTCTTCTCCAGTGTCTGCATCCTCTCTAATAGCATTGTGCTGGATGTATTCCTTGTTATATTTGCAGCGAACTCTTCATCACTGACAAACTGGGGAATATTAAAGTTGTATGGCATTACAACAATAACATCTCCATGGCCATTCATGTCAATTTTGGTAATTTTCTCCCAAAGATCACGCAACAATGTTTCTTCAGTTCGTTTATCATCAATTTTTCCATTTGAATCCTGGAGAGAGAATGCTTGATACAACAATGATCTTGCATTCTTTAATTCATCAAATACCATCTCTAGGAAATCGGAAAGTTAGTAAGGGGGCGTATTTCAAATGCCATTGCGTTTGAAGAGTTAGTCACAATGATTGAGACCTTCTATGAAAAAATGGGGGACGTAATTTGAAATGCCTCTACATTTGAAGAGTTACCAGCCGGATTAACAATGATTAAGACCTTCTAAGAAAAATGGAAAAGTTAGAATGGGGGGGGGGGGGTGTATTTCAAATTCATCTGTGTTCGAAGAGGTTCTACCCTGATTTACTATGATTGAGACCTTCTATGACAAATGGAAAAGTTAATATGGGGGACGTATTTGAAATGACTCTCTGTTCGAAGAGGTTCAACCCAGATTCACATTGAATGATGAAAGATGGAAAAGTTAATAGGGAGTCGTAATATCAAATGGCCATAGCATTTAAGGAGTGTTTAATAACCACTAAAGAATATAGATTTACAATGATTGATACCCACTCTCCATAAAAAAAATCAATATAATATTGAAACGTGAAAATAACATGTCTAAATGTATTTCACAAAAATAGTTTCGACATTTTAAATCTTTATCAAATCTGTTTTTTTCTTCAGGATTTTAAAATTACCAAAACAGGTTGTTTTTAATTCAGTTTTCCCAGATTTTAAAATTTGTCACCAATTTAAAGGTTTTCTGAAAATTGAAATGTTATTAAAATCGAGATCAGTTTATTAGCTAACATTTTAATAAATCACGCAGGCCAGAAGGAGAAACTTTTATGTCTTAAATCCGACTCAGCTCTCAAGTTGAACATTAAATAAAACGTATCTAACATTTAATGCATTTAAAAAGGATATTAATTTTCATCTGATGATTGTCATTTTTGTATCTTTAAAATCAAGAATTTTTAATAGAAATTTATAGTTTCTAAACAATTCTAAATAAAAATCAAAATGTCGTCTCACATTTTAATTTTAACACCCTGTAAAAATTGTTTTATATTTTTACCTTAGTTCTAAACTTGATAAAACCCCAGCCATTGCTGACACACTACAAGAACTAAACTCCATATTGTTCTTTCTAATATAGAATAAAATATATGTATATATAGAATATATAAATATAAATAAAATATATGTGTAAGGGTGTTTGTATTCCAAAAACGTCAAATCAGCTAAATCGTTTGAGTCCAAACTTTTTGTGGCAACTCAAATTATCACAGTACCCACAGGAAGGTTTATGGACCGTCAAAGTGGAAAAATTTGTCTCAAATTATTATGTAAAAGAAGGTGTACAGTAAAGTATACACTGTTTAATTGCTTTATTTCGAGTTAATTGGTTTATTTGAGATCATAAATTGAGTTTAACGGTTGCCTTCCTATTCCACATTTGAAGGGTCCCATATTATTATTTTGATGCTTCTTTATTGGTCCAGTTTTTTAAACTTTAATGTTTTGTTCACTAAAACTTATTGACAGACGTGATATACTTACTTTAGACCTAAACTGCCTGACTTGTACATCAAGTAAGTCCCATCTTCTTCGTTCCCCGCGCACTCTTCGGGATCGTGCACAGCACCAAAGCTGTGTCCTATCTCGTGCGCGAAGGTAAGTGCTCCAACCTGCTCTGACACTTGTCTATAGCAAAATGAATTTTCAGTTTTTCTCATGGTATATTTTAGTATTTGGGGGCTAATGAGGAAAATCTTATTTTATGTGCTTTGTCCTGTAAATACCTGCCATTTCTTTGGAAGGAGACAATCCCTGTATTTAAACTTTTATTAATGCTTCTCTCGAATCCAAACAAATCTTCTTTCTGTTCCCTAAAAAAATCAATTAATTCCAAAAAGATGAAAAAACTGTGAATTAAAATGTTTGTAAAATAAGGACATGTCTGCAGTAAAATTTTGAACATCATGTTTTTTTTTGGGGGGGGGGAATGATGTTACTTAGATAAATGAATTTTACTTTCATAAAATATTATTTTTCCTACTTTATTAATTTAAATCAAATTTATAAACATACAATTAGTGATGGGCATTGGGCATTATATAAGTTCTTGATATAAAAACTTTAAAGGGTTTTGGACTTTTAAAAGGTTTCATATAAATATGAGAAACTTTACACATAACAAATAGTTTATTCTAAACACTTTTTGACCCTGAGAGAAGATATATAAAAAAACGAGAACAGTTTTTAAATGTTGAAGTTTTAGAAAATGAAAGTTATTGCTTATCACTATATACAGTGAGAACCAGAAAACTGTGGAATAGGAAAACGATATTAAATCTATTCTTAAGTGTATTTGATGTTGTTACAAAGCAAATAGTTTTACTGGTGAATTATAAAATCACGTATTCAGTAAAATGAATATGTTTATACTGAACAATTCATGTGTATCATGTTTACTGGGAAGTCATAACTTGAGTATAAAAGTCGTATTTCTATATTTAAACAAAACAAATTTAAACTACACCATTAATATGTACGTGTATGAACCTATAGCGTGTGAATACATTTTGATTATAATACTAGCTGAAGTGCCCGGCGTTGTCCGTGGACATTTTTTTAGCCTATAACACCCCCGGCCACCCATAAGTGTCCACACAAAAAATCCGCCCAATCAGTCCAGCCGTCTTTGATTGGCTATTCTAGATCTATAAAGTGTATAAATTATCTGAACCTGAATGTTTCACAAACCCCTCCATGAAATGTTGTTGCTGTGTAAGCAAGTCCTAGTTTTCCATTTTCAAAAGTTCTGTTTATTATTCTTCTTCTTTTTTAGCTCTTGGATAGAAGTTTAAATTAGAAATTTATGTAACAGTGTTTATTTAGAGATAAAATTATTTAACTAGAAGGGG